TTTTTTTTTTACATACCCACTTTACATTTCGCATTATTGTTTCAGTTATCATTTAACATTGAAGCTTCACCATCTTACTCACCACATCATCCATACCTTCATCCCTTGATAGCTCTTTTCTGTGGTCTTATGTGCATGTAGATCATTTTGTTGCTTGATGTTTACTTCCACATTCTACATTATCCTTCAGAGGTAACTTTTTTCTCCATATTTAAATGTTATACGTCTTTGTTTCTTCTTTCTTGCTTTGGTAATCCACTTTTTTTTTCTTTTTTTTTTACTCATGTATAGAACAGGTGTTTGAGGATATGGTTGTGTGTATGATAAAGCAACATCAGAAATTTCTCAATAAGTGTAGAGACATTGCTCTTTGGCTTTGGATAGGTGGCAGCAATAATATACAATACCTGAACATGATTGCATGTGAATCAATTAGAAGTACTGTACACATGTTATATCTAAATAAATTAAGGACATTGCATACTTGTTACAACAGGAAAGTCAAATAGCCTTATCAGTGACTGTCATAATTTTTACCTCAGAAGCTTAGTAAAACATTGCCTTCAGTTGAAAATATATTTGAAATTTTAGCAAGACAGTATCCTTATTGCATATTTTCATTGGTTTAGTATTATTTTAAGATATACTGTACAGTATAGACACAACACCATAACAGTAAGTATACAGTATTTTTTCTTGTGCAGACACATCAGCTGAGGAGGTTCAGCTGGCTGGTACACAAAGAACTCTAGCTGTAACTGGTTTACCTGGTCACATCCCTGACTCAGAAGCACGTTACCACTTGTATCGATATGATCATAACTATGAGGGAGACTTCTTCCATAGTGTGTGTGAGTGTTTTTAACATTATGCTGTTTTCTGTCATTTATGTCAAATGGCCGTTTGATTCTTGGAAGGAGTTGAAAATTAGTACTTCTCTTTAGATTTTTGCAAATCAGAAGTCCTGCTAAATATACTAAGACTTACCCGATATTCTGTTTATGTGTGTTCTGCAGAGTTTAAGAAACATTTGTTGGTTTAACAGAAATTCTTTTTCATAATAGTACTGTACTGTACTGTACAGGGTATGACTGAAATTTTACTCTCTTAAAGTTCAGGGGACAAATAAAGAAATTATTGTACCTGGGTGGAATTAAATTTCTGTTTATTGTTGGGAATGTTTCATGACATTCTATTGGTTTAATCAATCAGAGTAATTCAAGGCCTCAGAATTGACTTTTTTCACATGCAACTGGTAGTAACTTAAAAATAATTTTAGCAGAGTTATTTGCATGTAGATTAAGATGCCAGAACATTCTACTAATATACTAATTTTTACACTTTGCAGTATTTATATATTCCATGCCAGGATATGCCTGCCCCATCAAAGAAAGAATGTTGTACTCCAGCAGTAAAAACCCCATAACACACCTCCTAGAAAATGGCCTTAATTTAGCCATCTCAAAAAAGGTAGAGTATTTGTTTTTATACATAATCCAAGTTTAGGGGATTAAAGTGTTACTGATAGCAAGAGAATAAATCCTCTGGTTATTCTCTTTGACTATCAATCCATTGTTTAATCATGATTTTACATGTAATCTCTTCTAGGTTTCTCTTGTGGTGCCAAAGTGTAAGAATGGTAAAAATGGATCGTGCATAAAAGACAGTTTTTTAATGAATATATTGTACAGTGGTCCCTTGGTTAACGAATTAGCTCCCATAATGATTTTCAGTTCGATTAATGAACAAAACTTTGATTATCGAAATCCTTACAAGAAACACGTTTTGTTGTGCGCATCAGCTGATCAGCTAGTCTGCCAATACAGTAATTGGTTCTATGTTTACATTCGTTTCCAGTGGAGTAAATATCAAGAAAGTTGTGCTCTTTAATATTTTTGCATTATTATTTTAAAATTATTAGTCATTCTAAAATTTAGTTAACATATTGATAATATAGACAGTACAGGGAACAGTTTTTGTGCACCCATCAGTTGATTGAATCACCCACCAACGCTTCTCAGTTTAACTTTGTTTACAGTGGAGTGAACATCAAGTTTGTTGGTCTCTTGAATATTTTTGCATTTTTACATTAAAATTATTGGTCATTCTGAAATTTAGTTCACATATTGGTAATATACAGAAATTATTATGAAACACGAAGAAGGCATTAGAACCAATGCACTCTGTAAAGAATATGGCATGTCATCATCGACTGCCTCTACAATCAGCTGTTTGACATGTAAACAAAACTTGCCGGGAATACGACATACACACCTCAAAGTAAGTTAAAATACAGTATTCTATTGTTTTTTATTTATTATTGTACAGTATACTGTACAGTACAGTACTGTATTTAGTTTATATTTAATGTTTTGTTAATTCTATTTCCGGTATACAGCGCTTTGCATGTATATACTTTTTCTGTGAGTTGGAACCAATTACCCAATATCCCATTGAAATAATAGATTCGGTAAACAAAATTTTGGGGTTAACGAACGACTCTGTGGAACCAATTGTGTTCTTTAATCGAGGGACCACTGTATATCAGTTGTGAATAGAAGTGTCACAACCAGTGACACTAAAATTTCAGCTTAGAAAAATAATCTCTTAACCCCCCCCTCCTCCCTCCCTCCCTCCTCCTTCCTCCTCCTCTCTTCACTTCATTTTAAAGTTTGATGAGATTTACAGTTTTTTTTTCTAGCTTCAGGTGAAACTCAGTTTTATTTATATCTTATCATTAGGCTTGACAAATCTCAAGCCATTTAACTAACCTGTGTTCCTCTATTTTATTATCCTCGACCAGGCAGGAAATGGTGTTCTTTGTGTGTGTGGAGAGGGTGAAAGAATGAGACTGGGCTGCATTTAGACCTGTGGGGGCCTTGGTGCAATTCAAATGTGGGGACCCTATAGGTATTAAGATATTTGAAAATAATATCTACTACAATAGTACATACCTACAGTATATACCTGTATTAAACATGCTGTACAAATTTTACCACACAGTTTACAGAAAGTACATCAGCTCGAATCCCTGATGTAGCTAACAGTGAAAAAACTGACAGTTAAGTTGCGGCAGTTACCAATTTCACTTACTTATGTGTACGTATTACCAAATTTAAAAATTATCATTAATTCACATCCTACATTAGAGTGAATGAAATATTTCAGCCATTGGATATTGCTATCATATGTACAAGGTTAGCATCCTTGAAGAGTTATTGTGATTTATTTCAAAATTTTTTAGTCTACACTGACTCAAGTCAGCAATACACACCAAGACTGTGTGGCATGTGGACACTTTTGGGACACGGACGATGGAGTCAGATAAAAAAAGTAATCCGTGAAAATAACTTTGTTTCCCTCGTTTTGGTACTGTTTATGATTATTATTACTGTTTTAAAAAATTTCCTTTTCATAGTTTGTGGGGGCCTTGGTCCAGCTGCACTATGGTAAATACTGCTCTGGAATGAGAGTGTAATAAGTTTATGAATGCAGCTAATTTTGATTAATTTTTATATATCATTTCACTACTTAATAAGCTTACTAGCCATTTGGGCAATGGGTCTGTTCTTTGTTATGACCTTAATGTCCAGTGTTAGCACAGGAGGAAGCTGGAGTATCCAGAGGAAACCTGTGATGTTTGGTTGGATCATAATGGATAACACCTTCCTCACATCTGTTCTGGGCCAGGACAGAGTGGTATGAGGTGCATGCATTACATCTGTGCCATCAACTAATGCATCTTTGTTTAACAGAATTTTCAACAATGTGAGGTTTATGGGAACAGTTATAGCCATTTAATTTTTAATATATTATTGAAGTCATAAATGAGGATTGTTTTGTTTCAGAAGTACAGTACAGTATATTAATACCTTCACTCAATTGTGTTTTTGTCAGAAAATTTTCTCGGATACTGTACATGAAACTTCACAGACTTACAGTTTTCTATTTATGCTCCAAAAAAATTTTTTATCAACAAAGTAACTTTATTTACAAATAATCAGTGAAAAACTTTGGAAGTATGTGTAACATTTGCTCTGTTGTAGACAAAAGATTTACAAAATGTTCTTAAAATGTTTTGAAACATTGCTTAACTACTGCCATCAGGCGCCCAACAACTGCTGGAGGTGGGAGTGCACCTAACAATCTGTAATTTTATTTATTAATCTTTTTTATACTTGAGGCTGTAAAATGCATTCTATTTGAGGTAGGACTACAGTACCATTTTTTTTTTCACACCAAAAAATACAGTAATTAAATATGGTTTTTTTTTTTAATATGCTTTTAAATAATTATATGTATGAGAATTCATTATTTCTTCAAAAAATTATGAGTCAAAGACCAAATGTAACTTTTAAAGTTCATTGGCATAAGAAAGAAATGTACAAATGATTGGAACGCACAGAAAATTACAAAGATAAGACAAAAATTTTGCTCTGCCACATCCACTGAGCATCTCCTAACATGTGGTGACAAGCAGGGCAGTTGTGAAGCTCTTAAAGATCAATGAAATTTATTACACTACTTAATTTTTGCAGAATCATATTTATATGTTTCTTGTAAGAAGTGAGCCAAGCGGAAGAGTAGTTCTTTGTGTGAAACAAGTAAGAATTAGTCCAAAGGGTTCAGAAAAAATACATATACCCTGTACTGTAATAGAGAATTGAATTACAGTAGTTTCTAAAGTTATCAGCTTTATAGTTACAAAGGTGTAATTATGAAATTTGTTAAATCTTCATACAAAATAAAATGTCAATAAGCAGTTTGAATATTAGATAAAGCTTTAAAATTACAACAGGAGTGATTGACAGCATGAAAGAAGGAGTTGTGAATTGAAACGAACATGTGGCGGTAATGACTTCATAAGCATTTATTCCAGGAACTGAAAAGGGCCAGGAGATGGGGGGGTCATAGTACCCTTGTATATTTTTCCACCTGTCTCTAAACAGTTGATTTCTAACATGGCAATTGAATCTTGATTTCTGTGTTTAACTGCAAAGTAGGAAATATATACAGTACTGTACTTCATATATTTTTTATTCAGTCTACTTTAGGCAAGGTATTCTGTATTTATCAGTACCCTGTATCATTGTACTGATTGCTGTAACAAATTAGTTTCAGTAAGATAATGTTTAATTTTTCCCCAGCTTGAAATTGGTGAGGGCACTGAATTAACAGAGGAATATCTGTTAGATGAAATTCACCCAAAACGTAACCTACATCGCCCCAAGTTTGCCAAACCTAAGGGCCCAGCAAATAGAGGAGCTAAGAGACTGACTAGACCACCCAAGGATAGTCCAGGCAATGGTGATTCTTAAATATTGACCCAACAAATGCACCATAATAATTCAGTTTGATTTATAGTGAATTATTTGTTTTTGTGCTGAAAGAAATGGTGAGACTTGTGGCCTCATTATGCCTTAACCAACATGTCACTCTCTTCAAATAGTGCCACAGGTGCCAGCCATTATAATTTAAAATCAATATGGATTTCTCCAAAAATGTATACTTTGCAGGGTGTCAGATCATATTGTAATGTGGTCAAATCTATCCATTGTTATCCTTAAATATATTTTCCATAGATGATATTTAGCAAAAGTCTCATACAAGTGCTACATCTTTACATGCTACTGATATTGTCTATGGTTGTTGTAGAATAGATTGAAAAGATTTTGGACCTGCTAGATTTTGTACTTTTTTCAGGGTTATATCAACTTCTAGCTTGCAAATAATATAGATTACGCCAAGAATGAAGCTTTAATAATATATAATGAATGGGTGAAGTTATTTGAATACCCTGTACAGGTATTACAATTCTAAAGAACACAAAGAGTACGCAGAAGTCCCATGCTGTATTGAGAGTATGAGCACTGCATTTATGAGGTCCCTTCATCAAGCCTGCTGTGATTTTTGAGCTTCATTCATTTGGTGTCGATAATATTGATCATCTTTTGAGTAAAAGACATTAACTAGTTTATGAAAAAGTTTAGCACATACAGTTCATGAGTTTTTCACAAGAGTAAGTTCCTTTGTTTATTTTATTAATAGTAGTACAGTAGTGTCGTGGATTTATTTTATGTGAATTACAGATCATAGAGAAGTGATATTCATTGTGGAAAACTTTCATTTAACTGATTATGTTTGAATTGTACTTGTCCTGCAGGTTTATTGTTTAATGGTATTTTTATACCAAACGATCAGGGTAATTATTTTCTCGTTGGATCCTTTAATTTTTCCTTCTTGAGTACTATTGAAACACTGCTTGAAAGTTGAGTACAGTTCTTGATCTTATTTCTGGGTTTACATTTTTACTTTTCCTACTTGTTTCCTTCATAAGATGCCAGCAAATTGTGCGAAGCATCTTCATATTGATCTTCCGTCCGTTTGTCCATAATTAATCTATTGTTTTTCAGTACAGTATCTTAAATTTGCATTGAAGATTTCTTTTCGTATTTTGTGTTAATATAACCTAATAAAAATTTCTGGCTATGTTTGATTTTAAAGAGTGTTCACTATACTCCTTAACATAAAGGTATTATTGGAATATAATTTTTCATTCAGCAAGCTGCGCTTTTATATTTACAGGTCAGATACCTTAAAAATTATGTGATAATTTTCTAAATTTGGCTTTGTTTGTGAAAAAGGTAATCATCATTGTTAAAAAACAGCAATAAACTGTATTCCATCAGCTTTTCAGTGCAGTAACAAGTACCATCGGTTGTGAAGAAGTTTGGAGTGTGGTCTTTCCCTTCTGTTTTTTTTAACACTTGTATTTATTTAAGTTGTTTTTCTATTTTTTTTATTGTGTATTTGCTACTTTAGAAATTATGATATTCACTGTGCACCGTTAAGCAAAATTGAACGATTATATTCTAATCACTGGTTGCTGGATTTTGTAAACTCCTTGTCTGAAAGTTACAAGTATTTCCCCACTATTGCTTGTGATATAATAGGTGTCACTTGCATATTTACCTAAGGTTAATCTTAATGACAATGTTACCCATAATCTTTTAAGTAGACCAAAATATAGAAAACTCTTTTAGTTTTTACAAGTTATTTACATTAAATCAAAGGGATAGTTTTTTATTATGATTGTGTAAAACCTCTTAAGTTGAATTTTGATATTGTGTACAGGTCACTATACACACACACACACACTTGATTTATTTAATGGATAGGGGATTTATCTGTGGAATATGTGAACTTTAAAGAATGTATTGATCCAGGTGATGATAATAATTATATGAAACTATAATTGAGGATTAATATTTCTTTCTGTGGTCTACATTTACATTGTTAAACAAGTGTTGTGGATTACACAGTATTAATATTATAGTGCTGAAACCACAACCAAAGGTCCGTATCAGTCTTTATTTTAAGGGTGAAAATAAGTTTATCAGAGGTTAATATATATTTATTTTAATACAGAATCCTGAAATTTATTTAGATAATTTATCAATTCCACTAACATCAATCATTGATGGTTTTACATGGAAAAGTTTTATTAATTCTAAAGGCAAAATTGCCTGTGTCTTCAATAGTTTTTCTTTTGCCTTGTTTTTTCTCGTTCACAGTTTTATTGAGGTAATTTTTCATATTACAAATACTGTTTGCTAAAAGACAATCAGATAGTTCTTGAAATTATTTAGTTAGGATCATCAGCCTTTTATTTTTCCCATTCCTGTGATTTTTTTGTACCACAAAGGTAGAGTACAGGTATTATAGTATGTTATATAAGTCTGGAAACTGATGGTATATTAAAACCTGCTCAGAGTATTATGTTAGGTATTTGTGTGCATTTGTAACAAACAGGCTGAAGCATGATGAGGAAGTGCCAGCAGGAGCAGAATAGTCAACATGTACCACTGCCATGCTGATCAAGTGTTGAGTAAAGTTTGTACCTCAGCACTAGTTATATATATTTTGTAATTTGTATCTTACAACTGCCAGTGATATCTTACTGTGTAAGGTCATTGTTAGAATACATGTTTTCTTGTGGAGCATTAAGATTCTTTCCAATTATGAAAAGTAATTAGGAGTTTGTTATTCCAAAGAAGTTCTACTGTAATTGTCATAGTTAAGAAGAGATCTTTGATACATGTGTGGAAGAACTTTGTTTGCTGTTTCTTTGAAGTGGTTGTAGACTCTTGTTGATCATTTTATAAACTTATGAATTATGAATTTGATAGTCATGGTTTTATTTCACCTGACCTAAAAATGTATTACTATGGATCAACCCACGTGCCCTTTATCATTCTGATTACTTTGGACGAGATTCCAGTCTGATCAGCATTAATATTTCGAAAGCAGTTATTTGGGCTATTCTTAAGCATTGGTAGTTCACTGGATCTACCCTGCTGAGCTAAGTTTAAGCCTTCATTTGGGAATTTATTAGAATACTGTGGGTTCCCTTATGCATTGGTCAGGCCAATAATTAAATTGCTTTACATTTATTTGTAGTTGGTAAAGTAAGTGCAAAATGCGTAGTATACATGCTAAATGTAATATTTATGTAATGTTGGAAGTGTGTCAGGAAAAGCATTAAGTTGCTCCAGATGAATAAAAGTAAAATGGTGAAAAGAAGTAAATAATAGAAAAATAAATGCAAGCTTGATTAGAGAGAACATAGTGAGAATGAGGTGTTCCAGATACCTGTACAGTATTGGAGAGTGAATGTGCCTGCAAATGAAATTAGTAACGAGTGAATTTAGATGTCAAGCACAGTAGCTAAAGGAAATATGTATGTGCATTAAGAAATGTATGAAAGGAGGCAAAAAATGGTGATATACAGGGAATTGGTTGAACCGACAATATTGTGCATGTTTCAAAATTTCTTAATTTTCTTTGAAATTTTAAGTCATCCTTAGGGGTTGTAAGACAGCTGTGTTTGTAGATCTAATGCATTTTAATTGTTTTCTTTAAACTCTTCTGATCTCCTGCTCATTATTCATTTTCTCCCACATTTCCTGATTTTTCTGACTAAAAACACTCCTGAGAAAGCAATCCTTGTGGAAGATACCAATATTGTATCATACAAACTACGTATAAGTTTGTAGGAGTGAAACATCTATAAGGAGACACATTATGTAGGAGTACTGTACTGTATGAATGTTACAATCAATTGACAGTATGAGACTGAATGAGATTACAATGCAGGTACTGTAATAATAGCCCATGATGTGTATCAATTCTTGACTCAAATACAGTATGCCGGAAACTATTTTCAAGCTTTCTTGATGCTCACTTCCTTTCCCATGGCCACATTGTGGTGGCCAAATTCTTTCACTGGTAACGTGATCTATGTGACTGTAAAATCATGTAAGCCATAGTTTTATGTATAGTACTCAAGAATTTATCAACACAATCATTTATGTATTTTAGCAGTGAAAATTGGTACTGTACTGTATACACAAATCTCATGCTATTATCACACTGTACAGTACAGGGGTACTGTATATGGATTTTTGCCTTTTGGAGGTTCCTTTGGATGAAAGGTTTGTGTGAGCATCATAATATACTCATTTTACATATTTTAATAACACCTGTGCCTATCTCTGATGGTCTGCTCTCGACTACCCAGCCAACAATAACAAAAATCTTGCTACTTACACTGTAAGTGGGTATTACTCATTACATTTGCTGTCCTATGTGACTTACACCACCCCTGCTGAACTAAATTAAACCTTTAGGCTCATTTGGTCTTCCATCACTGCTGGGTGGAAACAATAGAAGTATGTGTGGACACTACACACAACCTCATGTTCTCATTAACTGATTGCTGGCAACAAAATTAACCTGCTTGGTGATATCATTGATGATTGTTTGGAGCAACAAACTTCTTTATTTCATCCTGAAAAAATACAAATTCAAGCAAACATTCATATACACCAGATCTGTCTACACCATCTTCATTTAGTCAAGAGGTGCATCTTTGGCCAGGACACTGGGATGGTGAGCTAGGAAAACCTGTGCCAACCACACTGGTATCCAATCTCAGTTTGATTAACATAAAGCAATTTACAAACAGAGATGGTAAACTCTTCCCTCAAACATGTTAAGACAGTCCTAAGTAGCACAATAGGTAAGAGGGGCTTAATGCCTTAGTGTTGTTGCAGTTAGTAGGTAGTAGGCAGCTATCAAACACGGAGGTACTACCGTCTGGGAAGATATTGGAAACATAGTGTGTTGTCTAATGGTAGACCCTGCTGCCATATGGCATCAAAAAAATTTTGACCAATTCCCATGTTGCTGATTTGACTGACTTTCTGCCTTTTTTATACACAATTTCAGGGTCTCAATTGCTTCTCTTATTTCGACAACATAACATATACAGGTACAGTACTGTTTCTCACTCTTGATTTGGTTTGTTTATTCCATTTATTTATTTATTATTATTTTTATTTTTTTTCCCCACAGGCCCCGATGTGGGTCAGTGACTTGTGCCCAGGTGGACTTATCCCCATATATAAAAAAAGAGGTACACAGGGACATAATTCTTGATATCCTGTGCGCAGTGGCAGTATGTACCGGTAACCAGTGAGGTTTATCCGAGGTATGTTGTTGAGCAAAGCTTGACTATCTGTTAATGTTATTGGGAAAAGTTTATCTGGCAACCAACCCTACCCTTATTCTTAGGAGGTTATGTAGTCTATCCCCACCTTCTCGTGGTGCGCACCATTAGTATACTGTACAGTACTTTGTTTCTGTTCAAGTGGAACCAACGGGGAGGGTGTAGTTTTTTCTTTTTTTTTTCTTCTGACCTGTGTCTCTTTCAACTATCTTCATCTCATTGGTGGTGTTTTTTAATATTGCTGCCTGGGGTTTCCCAGGTAGTTTGTTTGCATTTTCTTGTTTTCTTTTGCTGTTTAATTTTTTTTGTGCTTCCATGATATCGCGCAAACAGGAATATCATGAATGCAGGAAGACAGTGACCAAGACAACTCAGGCTCTAAGGAGTTGGTATTAAAGTGCCTGGTACCACACTGCTTATGGTGACCTTGATGAGAAGGATTACAAATTTATGAAGAAGAAGAAACCCGGCTTCTGATGGTTCTGTGCAGGTTGTGAAGACGAAGTGAATGATATCCTGAGCACGGCCAAATCAAATCTGGAAGCTAAAATAGCTATTAAGGTAGTTGTTACTTATAACAAAGGCTATGGAGAATTTTGAGCAGGGTGTGACTGGGAGGCTGAAAGCACTGAAGGACAGGATTAATGCTCTGGGAATGGCCTAAGCAGCACTGAAGGACAGGATTAATGCTCTGGGAATGGCCTCTCTTGAGTCTCCTCAATCATTCACATTGTTAAAAAGGAACTGAAGGAGTAAAAAAAGAGCAGGGTGGCACTTAAGGCTCCCAGTTATATCTTGTTTTCACAAAGATAAAAGGAGATAATAAACTAGCAGTCATGAAGATGTCACCTGAAGTACAAAATTCCAAAGACAAGTTTTAAGTATATGTTTATGTTGGACTGGACAGATGCAAAGCTTATTGTAGGTTTTGGGTCACTCAATACTACCAATATCAAAAATTTGTACACATTGTTTCAGGCTCTCTTAGGAAGCCTGGTTCTCCAGTTTTTGCCTTCTGTGGGGGCAGTCTTGAGTCTTGGACATAGTCACACAAGACCTCACCTTGCTGTGCAAATTGTTCCGCTCTTGCTTTTGTATCAAGTAAAGATTGCCCTATGATGACTTCTCAATGAAAAAAGTTATTGAAAACACCAACTTTATTTGTTCAAAATATGCATAGTGCCCTCCTTGAACCTATTAAAAGTAGGTCTGTTTAATATCCGTGCAATCAGAAACAAAATGTGTCACATTAATGAGTTTCTGAGGGAGTTCAGCTTGGATATTCTCTGTGTAACTAACGTGGTTGTATGAATCAGACATCAACATTATTTGGTAGTGCTCCTCCAAAAATACACTTTTTTTTCATATTCTCAGACCTGCTGCGGGAGCTCCAGGTGACAGAGTGGCGCTGATTTATTCTGTGGCCCTCCTCAACATTAGACTGATTAGTGGTGACTGTTTTTTCCTCCTTTGAATTTATAGACATTAATATATCTTCATCGCCAAGTTATTAGAATTGCTGTTGTTTATCGTCCTGGTCTCCCAGGTACAGATAGGGAGTTCATGGATGACTTTGGCTTGTTTCTTGAGACTTAGTCAGGAAAGAAGGGGCAATGGTTGATCTGTAGCTACTTCATTTATTGGGTTAATAACCCATATCTGAAACATTTTTGCGCTGAGTTCTTGGATATTCTCGATCTAAACAATTTGGTCAATCATGTATCGTGTCCAGCACATCTTTCTGGATACACACTAGACCTAGTTTTTCTTCTGACTGTGATCGTGCATTAGATATTGCATTTGACCTGATTCATTCAGCAATCTGACCATGCTTTGGTTACTTTAGGTTTAATGTCTCAAGACCCCCTTCTTGCAGTAAAACAATTACTGTACTGTACCTTCAGGAATTATAGAAACACTGACCATAACTTGATTGACCAAGAAGTTGATCATTCATTGAACTAAGTCGACTCCTTTGGTTTGTCCTCTAAGGAGATAGTTAAATTACATAATGATGTCTTCCAGTCCATTTCAGACTGCTATTGTCCAAAGGTCACTAAGAAAATTACAGTATGAGATGACCCCCCTTGGTATGACTCAAATAAGTTTTCTTCTTAGAGATCGTAGAAGTGCTGAAAATAGCGCAGGCAGCAAACAGACCTACTAGATCAGAGTATTTGACTGCGCGTAGGGTTGTTATTTGTTCAGTGAGGGCATGCAAAGTTGAATATTGCACTACAAAAGTCAAGTAGTCTCTTGTAGCAGTATCAGAAAAAATTATATGCAGTTATGTATGAATGGACTGGAGGTCTGGAACTATTATGTCTTCTTCCACTTCAGATGCTCAACTTGCCTTGATGGTGTTTCTTTAAATGAGACATTTTCATTACTTAGTTATTTGCTCAAAATGTCACCGGAACATGTTTCTGAATACTGCACAATACTGTACAGTACTTCCACAATTTCTCTATTCTGAGAGGAGGGACATACCCTCTCCCACCCTATGGCTTTGGTGTCTCATTAACAGCTGATAAATCAGATTTCATATTATTTTTACTTTAAATTATTACGTCATGCAGTAGGGTGCCATTTTTCACATATTTAACATTAA